TAACGAGATGGATTGGCCAGGTGGCATCATTGATGGACTCAAGTGTGGCAGCGGTAGTGAGGATGGCCCAGGATTGGACATTGTTTCGTTCTGCTGTGCATGGGGTCGCTATGAGTTGGTTGCGACTTGATGGCACCTGACAACAACAACAATACCTATGCCCATCATTTGATACTCAACCTTCCTGAGTTCTCTTGAAATATGATTCTCGGCCATACCTTTGAAGTTCTGATTCATGATTTAATGTGGAACTTGTTTTCTTTTAATAGGGATAATTATCACATTTAGTCTCATTGATATAAAAGACAGGCCTTTGGAAATATATGTTACTATAAATACATATTGGCTTTTCTTTATATAACGGATGTTACTTCAGATAATTGAAAAATGTGATTGGTTTGCTCTTTCTCTATTGTTCCCGCTTGTATCTATATCACTGGATATATACTGATTTCTCATTATGACAAATAAATATATAATCTGAAAAGCTTTTGTCATCAACCATTGTAATACAAGTCATTTATTTAGCATCTATACTGGATGAAGCTCTCTGCTAAGTACTCGATATAAATGATCTCTTATACCAGTCCAGTGTGATTTGCAGTGATTTGGAACTTAGAGATGTTAAGCACTAAGGAAACTCTGGCATGAGTCCATTTCTTTGTTATTGTAAAATGTTGACTCTTTTGCTACTGATATTTATATGAAAAAGACAATCTCTATCTCTATCCCAAGTGTGCAGGTGGTACAAATAGCTAATGTGCTCAAACAGCTAACCAAAAGTTTGAAGGTTCATGTTGTCCGCATAGAGGCACCTAAGACAAAAGGCCTGGTGAACTTTTTCCAAAAAATTAGTCCTTAAAAAGCCCTATGCTAACTAACATGGGATCTCCATAAATCATAATTCAACTGAACAAACTATGTTTTGGACCATAAATAATATTGGAATATAAATAAATAAAACAGTTTTCTGATCTTGGATTTTCTGTTAAATGGAACGTGATATGGAACACAAATGTGTTATCCATTGTCTTTCTGTCTCAACTCGAACATCACTTTTTCATGTCTGAAAATATCTAGCGCAGATAAGCCTAGTGAAGACAGACTTCCTTAAAGTATTGAAAAGTAAACATGTCACTTAGGAGACTAAGGTGTGCCTGACCCAAGTCAACATACTCTCAACCACCTCATATTTATGTGAAAGCTGGATAGTGAATAAAGGAGACAGAAGAGGAACTAATGCCTTGAATTATGGTGTTTGTGAAGAAGATTGAATACACTATGCAATCCCAGAAGAATGAACAAATCTGTTTGAGAAGAATTGCAGTTAGAATGCTCCTTTGAAGCAAGGAATGGAAGACTTAATCTCATGTACTTTGGACATATTATCAGGAGGGACCAGTCCATGGATAAGGATATCATGTTTAATAAAGTAGAGGGTCAGTGAAAAAGAGAAAGACCCTCAACAAGATGGATTGACATGATGGGCTAAAATATAGCAATGATTTTGAGGATGGCTTAGGAGTGAGTAAAGTTTCTGTTGTCCGTTGGGTTGCTATGAGTAGGAATCAATTTGACAGCACCTAACAATACCGACTCGATGGCACTTAACAACAACAACAACAACAATACCATGTGGAGTCCTGGTGTGGCACTGTGGGTGAATGCATCAGACTGCAAAGTTGTTTGAACTGCAAGGTCGGTGGTTCAAGCTCACCAGATGCTCCTTGAAACCCTATACAGGGTAGCTATGGGTCGAAATTGACTCTACGCACTTAACAACAACAACAATACCATGTATTCGGATCAAATTTATGTGTCAGTGGCTTTTTTCTGGGCCAGCAGATACATTTATTTTCTTTAAAGTAAAGTTCAAATGATTTTGTGATTTAAAATGATGAGTTAAACTACTTTAGTTGCAAAACTAAAATAAGAAAAGAAAGAACTGCCTATAAAAGTTATGACAATTGTTCTGAACACAAAATATTAAAAAAAAAAAAAAATTTTTTTTTAAGTCCTACTATTTATTCCCAACAGCACCACGGCTATTTTTAAACCTTTAAAATATATGTGTGTAACTTTTTAATTTAAATAATTTCTAAGAAGATCTAAAGGTTGGAAAACTTGGTATAAATTAACCTCCTACTTTTCCTTCAAACTCCTTGCTTACTTTGATTTTAATCTCTTCAATCATATTCAAATTTAGATATAAGAAATTCATATGCAACAGATAAATAAATCTTTAAGGAGCTATAAAATTGCAAAGAGCCAAGGGAAGCTTAATAAATCTACTTTCCTCGCCAAAACTCAGGCTGAAGATTCCATTTCTTTGGTGGGAAACAAATCCAGAAATGAGAAAGACTAATGTTCAACTCTGGATGGTGCCAATAAATTATCCCTGGAAGGCTCCAGGAAGGATGTTCAGAGGAAGATACTCACCAGCGCCCTCTCTGCCTGGTACGGCACCCTGCAACCAGGAATGGACATTTATTCTGAATGTTTCTAATTACTTCTCTATTTTCCTTTGCCTTTTTTATTCCCTCATCATCCTTCAGCTTCCAACTAGCAAAACTTGATTTATTCTGGCTGTTGTTAAACGCCATTGAGTCG